AATGACTTCATGTTGTAACATTCTCGAATAATTATTCTAGAAATACTTTAATTTTGCGATATTTTCAATAAATTGAAAGTAAACATTAGGAATTTGAAATAGAATGATCTCAATCAAATCTGTAAATATATCGAAACTGATGAACCCATGATACAATGAAGTCTTAATGTATCATGGATTGCTAATATGTTTGAAATGGCCACATCAGCACTTCCAAATTCCTCCTTCAGTTTACATAGGTAAGTATAACATTTATATTCTTGGTCTACTTCTGATCCATTACAAACTAATACAAATATTTATATATTATTATAGACAAGGAAGGAGACAAAATATAGAAACAATTGAACTTGTTATGGAAATTCCCTCCCATTTAGAGAGTATATTTCAGAATTCTGCAGCATCACAGTTCCTCAGATTTTTAGATTTGGATATTCCTGCATTGCCAGAATGCTGCAAAATGGTTATTGACATATTTAAAAAGGATGAGATTCTCAAAAGTATGGGCTGTGAACAAGGAACAGGAGAGTGGAAGCAAAAACGGAGAAACAAAATTACAGGTATGTTTTTCTTCAAATTCAAATATTTTGACTACTCCACTTCACCCAACCAACAAATGATAATTTTTTTTTTTTCATCTGGAGCACACATATAATCAGATATATTTTTGAAATGAATATATGAAATGATGAACTCCTTGAAATATTTTAGGATCCACTTGCTATTCAATTTTCACATTCAAGAAAGAAGATTGGACAAAGATGTTATCAAATTTTTTTCATCCAAAATCAGTTCTGACTAAAGAGATGAAACATGGATTGGAACAAGAATCCTGTGCAATTGAAGCATTCAGTAAAATGAATGGGAATGTTGAAATCAAAAAAATGGGAATTATGATTTGCTCTAAATATCCATGGCTTGCCTATTCTCCAGATGGAATAATATTTGAGAATGGAAAGCCTATAGTAAACTTCTGGAAATCAAATGCCCATATTTAGGTAGAACCATACATAATTAAAAATAATTAAGGTTTGGCAACAATTTTCTTTTTTAGGAAAGATTAAATCAGGAAACGAGGTGATGACAACACTGAAATACTTGAATAAGGATTTCACTCTGAAGCAGAGACATTCTTATTATGCCCAAATACAGTTTGGGATGGCTCTGCTGAATTTGAGCAAATGTGAATTTATTGTGTATTTCTCCAAGGAGGAAAACTATCTTCAGATTTCTGTACCATTCAATGAACATTTTGCAAGGCAATTAATTGAAACAGTTACCACTAACTATTTTGAAAAAATGATACACTATATTATTTGTAATAATAAATATAAATAAATAAAAACAAACATAGTCCACATACATAAAAAATATCAAAATACTGGAGTACTTACCTACAAAAGAAAATAATTTGTTACAGATTCAAAACTTATACTAGGTATTAAATATTCTTTGTCAAAAACAACTTAATGGGAAATTTGTTTTGTCAAAACAACATGAATATCACTTTTTTCATTAATTCATTCAATGAACAGATTATCCCTTAATATAGGACTACTTAAATTTACAATGCCACATATGATTAAAAATATATTATCTACAATTGGTACTAAATGCAGTGGAAATGTATTTCTAAATATCCTGAAAACCTTTATACGAGCATTTACTCTTTCAATGTGTACTAGTGCTGATGCTATACTTCTATTCATAGATGCTTCAACTTTATCAAACTGTTCCTTCTTCCTCAGAAATGGTGGTCTTATTAGTTTTATACCATACTCATCACACAAATTCTCAATCAGAAATCCTTTATCTACCATAATTTCATCCAAATATGGAATCAGTTGATCTATTATGTGTGACTGTTCAAATATACTTTTATCTGAAGCTCTGCCCCCATATGCTGGACTAGAATATGCTATCAGACCAGCAGGAGTTACTGCAGTCATGAACTTGAGAGTATGGTTCTTTTTATAGTGTGAATATAATTTGATTTTACAACATAGTTTTTTTGGTACTTGGACCTTAATTTCAGTACAATCTAAAACAAGTCTCACATTCTTATATTTTTGGAAACATAAAGGTATGTTCTTCAAAATTTCCTCTTTAGGTGGCAGATACACAAAATTTGACAAAATATCTGAGAGAATTTCAACAGTATCCTGAAAAATTCTCTTACAGGTTGGTACACTAATACCACCAAAGAGAACTCCTAAAGCAGAATATGTTAGGTCTAGTTTGAATTTGAAGAATACTAGTAAAACTCTTTCTTTCACTGACAATCTTTGGCATCTATTATCTTTTTTATGATTGGAATATAAAATCACTAACAAATTCAACAAGCTGAAAGATGCAATTCCAGTCAAGATATTTAATGCTTTATCAGTCTGTATCAAGTCAGAGATAGATGGCCAATATGTATTGACCTGAACTTCAGCATCTTGGAATTCCTCAAGATTATCTGTTTGTGTGGAAGCATCAACAAACTGTGGAATTGAATTTTGATTACTCTCCATTATTTCTTCATCTTTCGCTTGATCTGAGACAGTTTTAATAGCTAATTCGGAAACTAGTTCTTGTTGGCAGGTGTTACTCAGGTCCAGTAGTGCTTCTGCTCCTTCAGTATGACTGAATGTGGCTGTGCTATGTTTGGTAGAGCTGGATTGAGAAGTGATTTTGTGAATGGATATACATTATACCTGTCTTCTTTTAATGAGTCTTTCAATTCTTCTTTTTTTCTCCCCTAGTTTAAAACTATAATCTTCTCTGTATCACTGGATACAGGTAAATTTAAACTTGGCACTGCAGTTTTCTTCAGATACCGTTTTTGGTAGCCCCCTAGAAGATGTATGTGAAGATAGAATTCATGCAACTCTCTATATAAAAACATCAATACAATGATACTCACAGCCACTAGGAGTACAAAAATCTTCCTCAACAAAATGTCTTGAACACACTCGCATGTTCTTAGAAACCCGTTTTCCCATTTTGAGTTTAATTTCCCACATTTTCTTTCTGTCACACATTGTTGGCGTCCCATATTCACCTATGCATTCGATTCGTTGGCCTTCATTTGGAAAGTGATGGAATGTTAAATCAGGACTATTTTTGTAGACAGCATTACATCCATATACACAGCAGTTTGCCCTACTCGTCATTTTCACTATGTTTGGGATATAAATCTATAAATTACTGCTAATAATCCAAACAAAATCGTATAACCTTCAATACAAGTGCACAACTGATCACACTTGCTGATCACGTGACGTGAATGCGCATAGTTTCCGCTAGATGTCGCGGCGCTTAGCATTAAAAGACAATTGTGTTATGAAATAATATGAATGAACCACCGAAATGAACAAATCAGATAAACAAAAGTGAATAATAAAAATAATGCCTATAACCTCACATTTTAAAGAAATAATTAAACAGGCATGCGCAAATACAATCAGTTTTAAGTTTTAGGTCGTAAGAGATAAAAGTTGGCCAACTTTCTTGTTGCTTAAAACTTACAACTTAAAACTTGAATCTTACAAGAAGTGAATGAATGACAACACTGAAATGCAATTGTTCAACTTCTTACGACTTATTACTTAAAACTTACGACTTAAAACTTAAGGCTTAAAATTGCTGCATGAATCCACCATATCTCTACGGTAGTTTTTATCAACCTGAGTTCATGATTTTCTGAAAGTGAATTGTCAAGGCGGGCATGATCGTAATAGGAGAAATCTTATTTTTTTTCCCATTTCGGCACAAGAACACCATACATCCCTATGGCCCATACTTATTGTCTAATAATAGTCTTTCAAAGAGAAGACACCAAAATCACGGTCACAACTCAAAAATATAAACGAACAAAATACCATCCAGATATCAGGACACAAACACGAATCTATAAAAGACACGAACGGGAACAATGAAACAATGGAAATAAAAACCATATGAAAACAAACAATAACAAAGGCGTTGCAGATGATGGGCGCTAAAATATCTAGGCCTCTCCTGATGGGAGCACACCTAATCAACGACATATACGTCTGCGATTGCTGCGGTTGTAAGCAATTTCGATAATCACGGACATTCTCTTCATATCTTGGTTCTACTGCGTCGACGCAGAACCTTAAGGTCAAGATCTCCATGGGAGGCGTAAAATATTCACGCGCAGGTAGCTGTATCAGGATTCCATTTGTACGGTTATAGTTCAGTGAAGGCAACCTGTCTATTTTAATGATCAAGCCACGCAAGGCAAGCCACGGACTATCGGAGTGTAACTATCGAAACTATCGATTTTTCGATATTTTACTACCGACACTATCGATAAACTATCGATAACATCGCTTCCTCCTTCCTCTAGTCTATTTTCTAACTCATGCGAAACTGTTCGCATGCGAATGCTCGTATACGGAAATTTTTCGCATGACAGTAGTTTTCGGTATTTTCGATGCCATGCGAAAACCAATTCGTCTCGTACAACTATATTCGGATGAGTTAAGCATTATTTATGTCAATTGTCAATTTTGAATTTTATTTTGAACTGGCAGTGATGTGATTTAGGCCCGGTTTCACCAAACTACTTTTGATCAGAGATTAATTAAGCTCCGCTTGATAGTCAATCTAGCTTAACAGTGTTTCACGTTTCACCATGCATCAATATGTCAGAGCTGATCGTGATTAACCTAATCGCGATTAGGTCTACGAACCAATTTGGCAACGATGTGAACATTAGAAAATTTTTGTGTTTTGTGCATAGAACATATGGTTCTGTGTCAGTCATTGATAATAACCTCAAAACATTGACAAAATATTGTAAACAAAGTTCAAAAATTCATTGATATAACATTGATTATAATATTAATATAACTAATAAAAATGTCCAGTGACCAGAAGCTGAAAAAAAGAGGGACCCTACATTCACAATGGATGATAAACACCATTTAGTAGATATCGTTCAAAAATATTATCACATTGTTGAAAATAAAAAAACAGATAGCCTAACAATGAATGCTAAAAACCAATGTTGGGAGAAAGAAATCACCGAAGAGTATAATTCAGGAGCTCTCTGCCCAAGAACAACTACAGTAATAAAAAACTGCTGGAAGAATTTGAAGGCAGATGGTAGGAAAGTTGCAGCTGATGAGAGGCAAAGTAGAGTGAAAACAGGTGAGAAAATATTTTTCATCTGGCTACAACATTCACTTCAAATTTCCTTTGTTGTATCATTCTTCCATTGTAGGTGGAGGTCCAAAAAAAGAAGTGCCTGTTGATCCAATTATGTATCGGATCATAGACCTCATTCGCCCTACAGCTGTAGGGCTGAATAATCCATATGATACAGACCATAGACATATAAAAAGAGGAGACGAAATTGTTTACATTTTGTCCCGATCCAACATCTTTTTCAGCAGAAGTCGATGATGACAAACTTCTGCGGATTGCCCTAGATCTACCGCCTGTGTTTAAAAACGAGGGATGATTTTACCACTTTACCATACATTAATTATATAATACACGTTTTATGTACCTATATTCATTCCGTATGATTGTTCTTTGATTGAAATTCATAAATTCTGCTCTTGAAATTGTTCGGGTTTTCCTAATTTCATGATTATATAAAATTATAATGAATTATGGAAATAACTTTGGCAACGATGCATTGGCTTGTTCACTACGAAATTACGCAAAGTCATTCAATCATGTCATATTCCTACTTCACAGTGTTGCTGTGTTGTGTTTATAACCTTTTGTGTGTTTAAATTGATTTTCGGCGTTTAAGTGTTACAAAACGATCTAGAGACAATTATTATTATTATCTGTTATTATTAATCCACTATGGTTCGTCAGTGCGTGGTCTGTAATGAAGTTGACCATTCAAACCCTGAATTGGTATTTCGACGGTAAGTAAGGTTATGCATGTTTCTTGTAACTTCAGCAGTGGTGTAGTTGTGGGGTATGTTATTCAACTGAGTCATATTGAATTTCACTTAATGATGGATCAAAATCAGGTAAATACCTAAGCTACTACACGAATATTTTCCAATAGATATAATATAATATAATAGCATTGTCATTGTTGTTAAATTGCCTTGCCTCTCGCTTGACAATATACACGGTGTTTCTTAAGTACCTACGTCTTAAAAATTGAGCAGCATGTTGCTGAAGTCAAATTAAGAAGAAAAGTTCGTATAAACATATTATGTCCGCAAATTATTCGTTTCAGAGCTACATAGTGTCGAAGTTTGATTGTTACTTCGGTTTTTTGTGAATAAATTTCAGAATGATCGTGATATTTGGGTGAGATACCATATTTCACTCGAATATCACGTTTATTCTTGAATTTATTGACAAAAAAAAACAGGATAAAGAATCAAACTTCGACACTCTGTATTTCAGAAATGAATAACTTGCGGAGATTGAATTTTTCACACGTACTCAACACATTGAATATAGAATATCATATTATGCAATGTAATATCAGCGGAATTATTGATGAGTAAAACCATGGTAAAACCCATATGTTCCTAATAAAAATTAAAAATAGGTACCTAAGTATGTATGCAATAATAACGGGGATGAATATAAAAACTATTTAAAAACAGTTGAGAAAAATATAAAGGAAAATTATGTGATGTCTGATGCGTGGAAACTCACATGTTATGTAGAAGATATTGTATCTTACATTTCCGGATTTGTAGTTAAAGGTGTGAAAAAATTTGTAGACTGTTCGAAATGCTTGAACTGTTTGGAAAGTGAAGATGCAACTTCTCAGTTACAAAAACGAAAAACCTATGGGAGGCTTTTAAAACCATCTAAATTTGTGGTGGATCTATGCAAAGAAGGGGAAAAATTTCTCAGATTTTTCAATAACACACAAGGAATTTTTAATCAAAAAAATAAAAATTTATCAAATATATTAATAACTTAAACTTTAAATAATGTACCCACTTCTGTATTCGAAATATTTGGAGACCATATTTATGATGATGAAGTTCTATCAGAACATTCGATTCGTGTTTCGAAATTCATTTCGAAATCTTATATCAACATAAGAATTTATTATGAAACCATAAGAAAACTAGATGCAAGCAAAACAAATAGATCTAGAAGTATCAATACAAAAACAATATTATTCAGGAATGAATAAATATTTTGTAAATTGTGTATATGATGCACTTATTCATGGTATTATGTATAATATTCCAGTAATAAATGAAGCTAGTTTGATCGTATTGTTTACATTTCAACATCCCTCCCAAAGAAACCTACGGCACTGGTAAAGAAATGTGTGAAATTGACGCGCAGCCTACAGCGTTGCCATTTTTGCATTTTTTTGAAGCCATCTCTTTCTAACTCATTTGAAACTTCGGCAGTATGTATGATTGTAAACAAATGGTGTTTTATGAATGAAATGTTATGTCTCCCCTCTTTTTATATGTCTATGATACAGACAGTGTTTTAAACAAAGGCAAGTAGACCAGAGCATTGAAACCTTTTTAAATTACTAAAATCAAATCCTATTAGGAAAAGTAACAAATTGATTTTAATATAGATGGCAACACCTCCATCAAATGGCATAATTAATTTTGTTTCAGAATTAATAACTATTGAAGAAGAACACAATTATGGTGTGGAAATAGAAGTTCCTCTGGAATGTCAGTTCAATGTGAGTTAAATCAGTCAATATTATTCAATAAATAATTATTCTCATTCATCTACATTTGTGAAAGAGCTTGAAATCCCTTATTCATATTCAATCCTAATTATTATTTTATATACATATCTCTCAGAAGTCATTGTCCTATAATGCATTCTTTTATTATATTATCACCAAGTATTGTTTATAATAACAGTTCTTATTTACAATTGTCATTACAGGATGACACTAGTTTAAATGGAGTATGGTCTCATTATACACCTACACAGCTGAGGAAGCCTAGAACAAACATATTGAGAAAGTTACCTCAAAGTTCTATTGAAGTTGGAGAAGATGGGTCGGTTTCAATAAATTTATTAGAGGAGGTTCAGAGTGCAGACATAGAAAACATTGCTGATAGTTCTCTGCACACATTATCCGAGACATTATCTTCCACTGCTGAGCTTTGTCCTGAAACTCCAGTGGCAAGACATAACTATCAAACTCCCAATAAAAGGCCTGCATTAAAGCCTATGACTGCTGATGAAATTGCACCAAAAAAGCATAAACCTGACAAGGAGAATTCCACTAGACACCAGGCAAGTAGAAGGAGACCCATCATCTCACTGGCGAAAAATGATGATCTGATGTCAAAAAGAGTAGAGGCCCTAGCAAAGGTGACATCTCATACAGAGGAGGAGCACCAGATTGTTATGGACATCCACCGTGAGAAACTAAGACAAGAAAAAGTTCGTACAAGAATACTCCTCTTTGAACTTAAGGTGGCTAAGAGACAGTTCAGAAATTGAAATCCTTAGGTTTTTAGTAATACACCCTCTGAAGGTGTTGGAATTTCCTAGTTTTTTGTTTTGTACATATTTCGGTTGACTATGACTGATTATTGTTTGTCTAGTCACAGTTCCCCTATTGGGTAGATTAATCCTTCTAGTTATTTTTTTAATGTGATATTTGTTGGGTTTTGCCTTCCTACAATAACTGTAGGTGTTGAATTTTTTATTTTATTTTTTTTAGTTATTTATGTTAACCATGACTAATTATTTTGTTTGTCTATATTACTCTATACAGTTTCCCTCACAGGAATAATGTCAATCCCTTATTTGTTAATCTGATGTTTGTAGTTTTGCCATTGTGTTGATTATTTTTTTTCTATACCATCCTATAATTTTTTTTCACAATTATGTAAAAGAATAAAGTTGCATTTGTATATGTCCAGTTTTTGACATGAATCCATTCTTGTGATGCCAGAACTGATTTTTGTATGGAAATATTGTACAAGAAAATGTAGTGTCCACAATTCAGATGTTGGAATTTTTGTTATTGATATTTGTCATTTAATAAAAGTCAGTAACTTTCGAACATGAGTTTTATCAGGTACCTGAACATTATCTCAAACAAATTTGACAAACTGAGCTGGTGAATCACAATATAATGACATTATGAAGTTTTTTTTCAGTGTAGAGAAAACCACTCATCTGGGTTTAAATTTTCACAAATAATAAACAATTCTCTTGAATTAATGTGTTTGTGAAAATTTAAACTCAGGAGAATGTTATTCTCATTAATAATGAATTTTCATTAGTTAAATAAATAAATATAAGCTAATTCAATTGTATATTCAGGAAGTACCTATTTGATCCATTGGGTATGAAAACAACCACTAATATGAAATAAGACCTATTATTCATAGTACTACAGCTAATGCCTCACTTCTGGATGTGGATCATTTCCTCGATTTCCTTCACGTTCCTCCCTTCTGTTCATTCCAATTTCCCTGTGTTGCAATTCCATTCTCACCAACCTGAAATGAGCAAAATGAGCATTAGCCTTGCTGATATAGAAATAGAAATTGTATAACATTCAATGATTGGAAACACCAACCTTGTGAAGTATTGATGTACCATGCCAAGTCTTTCTCGTTGCTCAGGATGATCCCTCCTCCTGTTCAAGGGCTGATGAATCCCTGCAATGGGATTTTCGCCCATATCACCCTGAGCCATTATAATTTCCCATGGTACTGGTAGGTTGGCTTCAAACTGAGGCTCAAATGGTGGAACAGCTTCTCCTCGTCTTCGTAAGATGTTATGAAGAACAGTTGTTGCTACAATTATGGGAAACACTTTATCCGAATGAACTCGAAGACCTAATGATAAAACAGGAAATCGCCTTTTCCATACTCCAAAACTTCTTTCCACAGGATTCCTGGTTCTTATTTGTGATTCATTATATAACTGTTCAGCAGGGCTCAAACAATTATCAAAGGGTGTCATCATATATTTTGTGCAGGAATATCCACTATCTCCTACTAAAACAGCATTTCCATATGCACCATCATCAAACATAGCTTTCAAGTTGGAATTCCGGAATATAGTAGAATCGTGAGTACTACCAGGCCACCTGGCAACTATGTCTGTGAATTCAAGGTTTGAATTGCATACAGCTTGAATATTGAGGGAAAAGTAGCCCTTCCTACAACGAAACAACTCTGCATTGTCACCACCTGAAAGCAAAATAAGTTGAAGAAATTGAGAAAATAATATCAGGGAAGGATTCACCTGGGGTATTAATTTTAACATGTGTGCAATCAATGGCACCCAAAACCCTAGGAAAACTGGCAATACTGAAAAAATCCATCTGTGTCCTTCGAATTTCCTCTGGAGTTTCAGGGAATTTGATATGAAGAGGACGGAGAGAGGCAATAGCAGCACTGACTCTATGTATTATTCTATGTGCTGTTGATTTACTGATTCCAGAGAAGTCTGCTACTGTGATTTGGTGACAACCAGTAGCATAAAACCTCAAAGTGCACAATAACTGATTCATTGGTGAAACAGAATCATTCCTGTGAAATAAATGAGAAATTAAAATTACAGGAATACCTCAACAACAAATTAAATATCCAACTACTTTGGCCTGCTGCAACTATATACATTTCACAACAAAATTGAAATATAATCATAAAACTTACTTGTCATTAGCAAATTCTATTTGGTCTTCGATTGACTCCAGTATCTGGAGCGCTGCTTCTTTTGAAAGTCGAAACCTTTTCTCAAAATCTTCATTGTCCAAGTTATGGAAATAATCTTCTCTTTCTTGAATCCATCGAGGACGTCGAACAACGAATTCTTCTTCATCACTATCACTATCATCTTCAAATACAAGATCGTAAAGTCTTTGGAATGCCATCGAAATTCGGAAAATTTTACATGCAGTTAATCTGGATCAACAAATAAACTCGCCAAAAATGGCCGATTTGCACGGAATCGCGATTGTTTGATTTAATCGGGCTTTGGAGCGTGGTGAAACGGTTCAATATGTTAATCTTGATCTGAAACCTCACTTAGAGTTAAGTAGAGATTAACGTTGTTGGTGAAACCGGGCCTTAGATTTTGTTGTTTGATAGTTGGAGTAATTAGTATTAATAATTGTACATATAATTATTTATATTTGTGATTGATAATGAGTGAAAAAAAAAAAGAACTGCAAATATGTCACCCAGTCAAAAGACGGAATTGATAAATTTTATGGATAAAAATCCAGAACTTCGGTCTGGAAAATTCACCAAAACTTTTACTTTTAAAAAGTCACAGGAGCTGTGGATAACGATTACAAATTCATTGAACAGTCTTCCTGGCGCTCAAAAAACATGGCAGCAATGGAGAAAGGTAAGTTTTGAAGAATTTGTGAAATAACTGATTTTCTTCAGTTGTACCCACTATCAATAATTGTTTTAGACGTGGCATGATCTTAAAATAAGCGCTAAAAGGAAAACTGCAGAGGTTAAGAAATATCAGAGAACCACAGGAGGAGGACCAGCTCTCCCGAATGAAAATTTATTAAATAATGAAGAAATCCAAGTTGTTAACATGATGGCTCCAGTTGCAATTGAGGGACACCTTGTAGCTGAATCATCAACATCTTTTGAATTTCCAGATTTATTGATGAGGAGGAGTTTGCTAATGTTTCGATAGATGAACACAATGAAGTGATTTTGCTGGGAGAAAATGAGGAAACTGCTTCTGACCATTTATATTATGCAACAGGTAGGTTAGAAATACATTTATAGCAAAATAAAAACTGTCATCAATCAGTTGCTTATGCCTCAGGCTGATACACACTGAAATCATCTGAAGAACTCTGTTTTTGTTATAAACTGTATTCTTTAAATTATATTACAAAACTTATTTAACCATTCTTATTTCAGAGAAGACGGATGATGGTAAAGAAAATATTGAATTGCCTTCAAAACCGAAACGTTCTACACGGAAAAAAACTTTAATAACATCTAGTGAAATTTGCATACTACCAAGTAAAAATTTGCATACTATATGGGACAAGTACTCGCCTCATCAGCCACAAGAAAAATGATATTTCTGAATCTGATCACTTGTTGTTATTAATGTGATTTCAGGAACACATGTAACCTACTGATATTAAACGCTTCATTAGGGACAGAATTTTTGTTTTATTGGCCTTAGTGTACATTTTACTTGCAGTTATACAACTGAATCATTGGATAGGTGGTCAGTTCGATAAGTATAGGTGACTTGTTTCACTTGGCCTCATAGAATACCTCACTTGTGGGTAGTGTACTTTTCACTTGGAGTTATGCAACGACATTATTGGCTAGGTGCTTATTATTTCAATAACTATAAATATCTTGATTCACTTGGCCTCATCTATGTCTTACCTTGGATAGCTTTCATCCCATCTTTGTTATCGGGATACACCAGACTCAGTCGAACTTTCTTCCTGTCTTCACTCCTAATTCACTTGGCATCATTCAAACAAGGATCATTTGATTCATTTGTAATGTATCATGCCTTATTTTCTTACAATACATTTTCAATTCACCATGAAATGAATAATGATTCAATGTCACCAAGAAATCAATGTTTCAGTTCATATCTTGCAAATGTTTTCTAAGTGACAATTATTAATAATATAGGATTCCGAGTGTACCATAAGGGTGGCCATCGGCTAATTAATAAAATTGATATATTTCTGTTTGAAATCATAATTGGCACTGTTCTATACGTTGTTCAATACATTATTCAGATGAATTGATGAACAGTTACTCGTAAAAAAATATGAACGTTGTGAGAAATAAAAAAAAACTAATGATTCGTTGAGGAAAGGAAACGAAAAATGTAGGTTTCCACCAGTTTTAATTGAACATGAATCCTACTATATCATGTCAATTCATCCTACATATCATCAGCAAAATACATGAAGGAGTTTTATTTTAGGACTCACTACTATGAATAACGTCATTTCTACACAATGATAAACTTTTTCTAAGTGAATAACAGATCGATAGAAAGTAAAACAGCACTATTGGTTGTCTATAACTCTCGGCCGCCCCCAAAAGGCATTCTGAATGGCACCTTCTATACCTCTCGTGGTGATGAGTCATACTTCCTCAGCATAATATAATGAATACAACACCAACAATTATTTTTCGATTAACCACGCGCACCAAATCCTCACACTGAACATACTCTCACGAAGTCTCGACAAAACTGACGCTAGTGACAGTAGTGACGCTGATGGATTCGGATATACAACACGAGAGGGCGACGATTATTCCCGATTACTGGGCAGGTGAACATGTTGTATTACCGTAGGTATATTGGGTTGTACCGCAGATAAACAATTGTATTGTGCTTGTAACACGAGTTTCTGTAGTTATTATATCCTTTTCAGAAACTCGAAGTTAATAAAGTATGAAATACACTTCACCAGCGCTTATAAAATGTTTTCCTGTGGCTATACGGAGTCATGAGTCAGG